TCCAAATGGCTTCCTTATGTTCTGTCATGAGACAAAGAGGACCATCTCTCCGCAGCCGAACCGCACTCAATAAATTTGAAGGAGAGAACTTCCCAAGACCTTCTGATCTGCCAGAGAGTCTCCCAGTAGAAGACCTAGTTGAAAGGGAAACCCTGTTTGAATTAGGAGGGGGACTTCCAACTGAGACGATGTGTGGGATTCTACGCAGAGCTTTGAGGAAGAAAATGTTTGTCACCCCCAAAATCATTGGGGGGAAAGCTTCACCTTCTTGGATTGAGTTTAAGCGTGCAAACACAGGGTCATGAATCGTAAAATAAGGCCGGAAATCAACACTGCAAAGTAATGGAGCAACCAAACTCACAAGACTAGCTACAGCCTCACAACATTGGGGAGGTGTGGGGGCAATTATGAGAATTGGCTCACCAATGAGTAACAACTCCCACAAAAGCCAAAGCTGCAATAAAATCCCTCTGAACGAACCAAAAAGATCCGAATCATGAAAAAGACCATGTGGAACAGACTGATTATTAGGAACAAAAGGCACCACAGGAGAAGCACCCTCTTTAAAAGGCACTCCACCTTCTAACGGCAAACTGTGAGCAGGTGGCAAATTCACTTTAAGGGTTGCATTTCCAATAGGAAGATCCATTACCTTACCAGGAACAGGAGCAGGCCATTTTGAAACATAAGCAGCAATATGCTCCAATGCTTTCTTACCAATGTCAAAAAACAAAGGACCTACAATTTGCAACAAAGGTCTAAACACACTTGCATAAGGACTGTAAGACAAAATGACCACAGACTTCTGCTCACCACCTCGCTTTAACCGCTCGTCGTGTCTCTGCCTATTAAACACATAACCATACAAGAATTTAAAACCATTGCTACCATCAGCAACACCCTTCTCATCTAAGGATTTCTTAAGGAGCCTGCGAATTCGGAAAAAAAATATGCAATCATGAATGCTGGTGCGGTTCTGGTGCTGTGAAACCGAATCAGGAAAGGAACTATAAGCAATCTCAAGCTCCTCATCATGGGAAAGACAACCCTGGGGATAACACTCTTCCACAAGCTGGCCCTGTTCAAGATCAAACCTTATAGCACAAAAAGCAACAACCCATCGTTGCAATGATTCTGAATCAACACTCGGACTCACTTCTGTTTTCACTGAAAACGAAGGAGACCTACTCATATCTTCCAAAAAGTAAAACAACAATTGTACAAACCAACCTCAATTTCCTGCTACAAAACCAGCATCATCACATTCATTGGTTAACCAGGTTCAATTTTCAAGACAGACCCAAATGAAAAGATGGAATTTTGAGAATTGGGTTTTATTCTGCAACGCTAAAAGTGCTTATGCCACACCCAAGGACAAACCTGCTTAACTACTTCGTCTTACTCTGGAAAGCAAAATAACGGAACTGAAAAAGCTTCGGCAAGATCCAGGATTTGAGAGCGAGCAAATTGGGAAACGAAAAGGAGATTAATTGATCGATGAAGATCTGGGAAATGGGTACCTGAAAATGTGATGGGTTGGCTCCAAATCAAATTCGAGAAATTGATATGTCTGATTTTGGGAACTTATACATACGAATGGGAATTTGTTGGATTCACAGAAAGGATAGATATGTCTGATTCAAACTTTCAATTCCAAATCCAAGCTGCCCTTTTTGTTGGAAAAACAAGCAGCTATAAATTTGGAAATACCTTTTCGTTTTGAAGATACATTTTATTTTAATATTATTTTGTTGAATGATTTTATTGTAAAATTAATTTGAACTAAATGTGTTCGTGTGCTACATTGTATTTATAAAATTTTGTATTGATCTAAGTATTTTATAAAATTTTTCTATATACGTGACCAACCATTCAACTAGATTGGCCTTTTTTATTTTATTTTTTTTTTATTTTTGGATAGTAAGGACAATTTATGCTCTAATCTTATTGTCATAATAAATCAAAATAATCCAATATTAAATAATGATATATATATATATATATATATATATATATA